GTGTGTTTAGGTTTCTACAGGCTGTTCTTTCCAATAAAGAGATAGTGATGTTCTAGAGCCCTAGGTGGTGAAAACAAATAACATGCTCAGCTGCTAACTGAAAGGTTGGCGGTTTGAGCCCACCCAGAGGCACCTCAGAAGAAAGGCCTGGCAGCCTACTTCTGAAAAAATCAGCCATTGAAAAACCTGTGAAACACAGTTCTACTCTGTACACATGGGTCACCATGAGTTGGAATTGACTTGATGGCAACTGGTTTTTTGGATGTTCCGGAGTTGGGACAGCTGGATTCAGGGCAGAAAGAAGCTTGGGTTTGGGTGATGGCCCTGAAGGTGGCAGATACCAACACAAAGAGGGCAGGAGGTCCATGGCTCAGGTGAGGTAGACTACCCTGGGGAAAGGCAGCGTCATGGATCGTATTGTGTCCCCCAGAAAGGTTTGTCAACTTGGCTAGGTCATGATTCCTAGTATGTATGATCCTCTACCATTTTGTCATCTGATGTGATTTCCCTATGTGTTGTAAATCCTATCACTATGATGTTAATGAGATGGATTAGCGGCAGTTATATTGATGAGATCTACAAGATTAGATGGTGTCTTAAGCCAATCTCTTTTGAGATATAAAAGAGAGAAGCAAGCACAGAGACAAGGGGACCTCATAGCACCAAGAAAGCAGTACCTGGAACAGAGCGCACCCTTTGGACCTGGGGTCCCTGCGCCAGAAAAGCTCCTCGACCAGAGGAAGATTGATGACAAAGACCTTCCTCCAGAGCCGACAAAGAAAGAAAAGCCTTGCCCTGGAGCTGACGCCCTGAATTTGGACTTTCAGCCTACTTTACTGCGAGGAAATAAATTTCTCTTTGTTAAAGCCACCCGCTTGTGGTATTTCTTTTATAGCAGTACTAGGTAACTAAGACAAGCAGGAATACGTCACAGAGACATCTCTCTGTGCTTTCTGTGCTTTGGTTTCCTCATCCATCACACGGAGATAACAACACCTGCCTGAGCACCCCATGAGCTCCTTCCAGGAAGTCCTGCTCATTGCCCCGAAACCTCCCTCCTTGTTCCACCTTAGCACATGTAAACCAACCTAGAAAACCAAACCAGTTGCGGTTGAGTTGACCCCATGTACGTTAGAGTGGTCCTGTGCTCTAGGGTTTTCAGTGGCTAATTTTTCAGAAGTAGATCACCAGGCCTTTCTTCTGAGGCACCTGTGGGTGAACTGAAACCTCCAGTCTTTAGATTATCCGCCAAGCCCATTAACCATCTGCACCACGCAAGAACTCCTTCAGCACTTTGACCCAGGCTAGATTCCCTCCTTGGAATGTCCTCTATAGGCCCCCTCTCTGCCTAAATCCTAACGCTCCTTCAGAGACCCGCTAGCCCTTCCTGCTTTGTGAAACCTCCCCTGATAACTCCAGCTGATAGTGTTGGGCCTCTTCTTTCAACTTCTATAGCACTCCGAGTTGCCCTAACCAATGAGCACATAATTGTCTTATATCAGGGGTTCTCAGCCTCAGCACTACTGACATTTTGGGCTGGACAATTCTTTGTGGTGGGGGTAGATCTCTGCATTTTAAGATGTTCAGCAGCATCCCTGGCCTCTACCTACTGTTGCTGGTAGATGCCCTAGAGTCGGTTCTGACTCATAGCAGAACATACAGCAGAATGAAACACTGCCCGATCCGGCGCCATCCTCACAATCATTGTCATGCTTGAGCCCACTGTTGGAGCCACTGTGTCAATCCATCTCCTTGAGGGTCTTCCTCTTTTTCACTGACCGTCTACTTTACCAAGCTTGATGTCCTTCTCCAGGGACTGATCCCTCCTGATAACATGTCCAAAGTACGTGAGACAAAGTCTTGCCATCCCGTGTCTTAAGGAGCATTCTGGCTGTACTTCTTCCAAAACAGATTTGTTTGTTCTTCTTGCAGTCCGTGGTTTAGCCAATATTCTTTGCCAACACCCTAACTCAACGCATCAGTTCTTCGGTCTTCCTTGTTCATTGTCCAGCTTTCACATGCATATGAGGTGATTGAAAACACCATGGCTTGGGTCAGGCGCACCTTAGTCTTCACACTGACATTTTTGCTTTTTAACACTTAAAAAGGGTCTTTTGCAGCAGATTTGCCTAACGCAATAAGTCGTTTGATTTCTTGACTGCTGTTTCCATGGGTGTTGATTTTGGATCCAGTAATACCGCCACATGCCTATCCCTTCCCATTTCTGTACCCCACCCCCTACTCCCCATACCACCTGATAACAAACAAAACTAACTCCAGACATAGTTCCCCTTGGGGCAAGGGACGGGGATTGTTGCAAAATTGCCCCTGGTAAGAAGCACTGGTCTAGATATTAATGTAAGTAAAATCCCTTCATATAAAATGCTGAGGCCCTTGGGTTATCCCATCTTAATGTGATTGTTTTAATGAATTGTTTCTGCAATCTCATTTGTAGCCAACAAGCTCTGGAGAAAAGACAGAGCCACTCTAGTGAATTTGCAAGTGCTGGGTCTCGTCACTACTTGGGCCACTCATTTCATGTGTGTGTATCATGTTTTTATTATATCCTGCCTACTTCCAGAGGCCTTTCGAATGGTCCCTGACTCATTTCTTTTTCAGAACATATGGACAGGTTCTGTGTATTGCCCAGGAGCTGGACTGTTTCAAGCGGGGAGGGTGTCCTACCTGGCAGAGCCCTCCCCATTGTATTCAGATTGTCTCTCTGCCTCACTGCACTTTAGGGCCCACAACAGCAGGGACGATGACGATCTTGTTCACCACTGTACTCCCAGCATCAAGTACCCTGTTGACACATAGAAAGATGCCAGTAAACACTTACGGAATGAACATATAATAGAAATGATAATATGTTGTATTTAGCTGTGGCTTAAAAGTACAGAACGTAGCTACAGCTTACGTAGTTTACGATAATCATTGCTTCTGTTTATTAAGAGCATACACCAGGAATTTTACATATATTAGCCCACTGATCTCAGATAAATATTATTAACCGATTTGAAAGATGAGGAAACTGGGGCTCGGAGAGAGTTTGTGACTTGGGTGATTATATAGTAAAGCCCATATTTGGACCTAAGGCCACCTAACTGCGGGTCCTAGTCTTGGTCTGCCTTGATATGCTGTTGGTATTGTTAATTGCTCTTGAGGTGGCCCCTGACTCATGGTGATGCTGTGCACCATGGAACATAATGCCGCCTGGTCCTGCACCATCCCCATGATCAGTTTGGGATCGGACAGTTGTGATCCATAGGGTTTTCATTGGCTGAGCACCAGGACTTTAATTAGCACAAAAAACTCAAAACTAACACAATAGTTTTAAAACAGAGTTTGTTATTTTTTTCGTATTTCAAATGTAATACATGCTCATCTTAGAGAATTTAAAAAATACACGTAAGCAAAAACGAGGGGAAAAAATCATCTGTAATCCCACCACCCAGAGATAATCACTGTTGCCATCAAGTTGACTCCAACCCACTGCAACCCCATGTGTGTCAGAGTAGAACTGTGCTCCCTAGAGTTTTCAATGGCTGATTTTTTGGAAAACTTTTCCTGGTCCATCTTAGTCTGGAAACTCTGCTGAAACCTGTTCTGCATCATAGCAACACCCAAGCCTCCACTGAGAAAAAGGTGGTGGCTGGGAATTGAACCCAGGTCTCCTGCATAGAAGGGGAGAATTCTACCTCTCCTGTTCACAGTCGTAAGCCTGTGGATAGACTCTTTTCTTGTGTAAGAGTGATTATTTCACAAATAGGGACCAGAAAAATGACTGTACCACTGTGCACAATTTAGATCAGTCTGCCTTTACCTCTTTGAGTTTCTGCCGGGACAGGGACATAGAAATAATTTTGTTATATACAAAATCTTGTCTATCACAACATTCACAGTGACAGGATTTCATTTGTGGCCGGGGGGCCAGAGAAACAGTTTTAACCCTGAATCTGGGGAGTGGGTGTGTATGTGTACAGGAAAACGTATCAGGCAGCATGAAGTCCAAGCTCTTACTATTGCATACATTCCGTTTCCTTTGATATTTGCTGCAAAGCCTGACCCATAACTCTCCCTCCTTGGAATGCATCTCAGCAATCCACAATCATTCAGTGTTTACCATTTGTTCCCGCAGATTGTCAGATTTAAAAAAAAAGCATAGGTCCAAAAAAAGCCATTGCCGTCGAGTCGATTCCAACTCATAGAACCCTGAAGGACAGGGTAGAACTGCCCCATAGGATTTCCAAGGCGTGCCTGGTGGATTCCAACCGCTGACCTTTTAGTTAGCAGCTGTAGCTCTTAACCACTATGCACTTCCCTTAAGGAGCCTGCAGCCTTGTCTGTTACTTCCTCAGGTAGTGGCAGGAGAGGACGGTGTAAAATCGGTTTTTCTCGGGTCTAAGGTGGAGTCTGCGGAGACCTCGAGAGGCCAAAGGAGAGATGGACGGTCTCCCCTCCTATCTGGCCCTAGTGAGGGAGATTTGCGGCCGCCGGTGGGAGGCGCTCCAGCGAACCACGCCACAGCTCGGACGAAGCCCAGGAATCACACAAGTCGAGGCAGAGACCCAGGTTGGAGGCTACCAGACGCAGAACACCCGGCTTCTGGAGCCACTGTGCGCTCCTTCCCTCGCCTAGCTTTCCTCAGACCCGACCAGGAGAAGGTCCAGACGGCGGCGAAGAGGCGGGGATCCTTTCAGTTCCACTGTGGTTGACACTTTCCCACCTCCACCTCCCGGTATCCCCTCTCTGACTCGGAAACTGGAAAGGCGCGCCTTGCCCCGCAGGCCGCGTCGAGGGGCAGAAAAAAGCAACGCGGTCAGGGCGTAGCCAGCTCGACGCCGGGTGGCCCCCCTCGGGGCTGCCCCGCCCCTCAGCCCCGCCCCCGACACACCGACCCCCGCCCCTCGTCCCCGCCCGACAACAGACCCCGCCCTCGGGCCCGCCCCAACACTTAGGCCCCGCCCCCCCGGGACCCGACACGGCGGCGCTCACTCCCCAGCCCTCCCCCGGGAACCTCCGGGCGGAGAGGCTCCGCCCGCCCTGAGCGCGGCCTCCGCATGGAGGGGCGGCCGCCACCGGGGTCGGGGCGGCTCTCGCCGCCGCTGCAGGGAGGCGGAGCCGCTGCGGTTCCGGAACCCGGAGCCCGGCAACACCCGGGACGCGAGACGGCGGCGCAGCGGTACAGTGCCCGCCTGCTGCAGGCCGGCTACGAGCCCGAGAGGTGACGCCTAGGGCTGAGCGCGGGCGCATCCGGGGCGGGCGGCGAGGAGAGCGCGGCGGCTCCGGGGACGCGGCGGGGGAGGGAGGGCAGGCCACGCACCCTTGCCCTCTCGCCGCTTCACCTCTCACTCCCTCAATCGGGGTTCAAACGCCACGCTCCCACCTTTGGTTGGCGCTGCAGGCGGGCTCTAGGCAAAGGGCTTGGCGCTGCGTTGCACGGGGGGGCAGAGGACAGGGAGCAGGTTGTAAAAACTCTCCCAAAAATCTTAGTCCTGGGTGGCACCTCTACTACACACCCGACAACACCTGGTCCAAGTGACCCCAACTTCTGGGGTTCCAGCAATGCTCGCTGGAGTGCCTGTCCAACTTTGTGTACGCCTTCTTAGTTGTTCCCTCATGGAACTGTCCTCAGCCCTACTGGCCGGTGTAGGTGTCCAGATGCTTCAGGGGTGGATGAGGACGCCACCCTCCTCACCAGCGCCGCCCACCTCAGGGGCTAAGACTCAGCACCCCTGCTAGGGTCTGTAAGGGAATGAGGGTCACTGGAGGAAGGGTGAGGATATTGACCACGGCCCCCCAGGGACTGGCTGAAAAGCAGACAGCGGCTAATCTCTGGATTGTATCGCAGCTTGAAAGGCAATCTACTGTCCTGGTCCAGAGGATTTGGACTTCTTTCTCTGCCCCATCTGCTGGTGCTCAGCAGCTCAGCGAGGTGACCTGACAGCTGCGCCGGGGGTGGTCGGGGAGAATTAGCCGGCAGCTCTGCATAGGGTCTGGTGCTTACGTAAGAACTTTTAACCGCTTAGCGGGCTGCCTGGTGGACCTGGCCCCTCCTCCTCACGGGCTGCCTCTCTAGAGTGGCCTGGGCTCCATCATCCCTTTTCCTTCCTCCCATTCTAGAAATCAAGCTACTGTGGCCTGGGGTGCTAGAGAGGGGACCCCAGGAGCTGAGGGAGCAGCCAGGCACTTGGGGGTTGAAGGAGGCAGTGCCTTGGTTCCAGTAGATATTGGAAAAATGTTATCCCAGAGTTCACGCTGGGGCCACACAGGGGCATCCTTGTCTAGACTGTACTTCTGCATCAGTGGGGCCATCCCCTGTCTCCTACTCCAGCTCAGAGGAGCGCATGTAAAACCCTACCCCCAGCCAAATGGTGTAATGAGATTCACACCTGCCAGTTAGGCCTCCATCTGCCCCGAGCTATGGGAAGGCGACAGTGTTCTATGAGAAGTCCCGGGTTGAGGCTAGAGCTATTGCTCCCTTGAACTTGGGCAAACTATGTCCCCTGTTCCAGATCAGCAACGCCAATGTGATTACCTCTTCTCCCTCAGTCCTGCCCCAAGCCCTCCCCACCCCCCAAAAAATTATCTTGAAATCTTGTTCCTTCAAACATCCCCAGACCTGATAGAGACCTCTAGGCTCTCTGCCTGGACCTCCATGCCCAGTGGGGCACTGCTCCCCCACTACCTGGGGAAGGGGCTGGAAGGGGCCAGAAAGGGCTTAGGTCTGCCCTCACCCCCTACTGCCCTCACAGCAGCCAGGTGGAGAACCTCAAGGGGCCGGCCCTTCCACTGGTTGCCTGGGTGTCTCCTCCCCAAGGAAGAAGCAGCTGGGAAAGATCAGAAAGAGGGAGGAGGAAAGCTGGGAGTGGGGTGGGGAATGGATTAAGAGTCTCTGGAAGAGAACAGCCTAACCCTGGTCTGAACCCACAGCTTAGCATCAGGAGGATCCCCTGACAGGCAAAGCAGGAGGGGGGTCGGGGGTGGAGGTGGGCGGGCAGGCAGGAGAGGAGGAGTGGGGCTGTGAGGCCTGTAGTCACTAGGGAGATGAGCCCCCAACTCAGCCTGGCAACCTCCTCCCCTGGGTCCCAGAGTTCTAGGCTGGGGCAGATGTCGCATTAAGGTCACCTGAGATGGCAGACTCAGCTCTGCCCTAGTGGAACCCTAGCCATTCCTGACGCACACTGTAGGGGAGAGTGACCCATAGCAGGCCCCTTTGGAGACCACGAAGGTTTGAGGGCAGCCGTGCTCTGTCTGCAATTGCCATCACAGCCCTGTCTTCCTATGGCCAGGAAGGTGCCCAGGGCAGCTCTGAATGGCTTCCACTGGCTGCTCTGCCTCCAGGTGGCAGTGAGAGGTCCTAATGCTGGCACCCTCAGGACATTCCCATAAGCACGGGCCCCTGGGTGGGAATATGAATGCTGATGAATCAGTGGTGCTTCCCAGGTGTCCCTGGCAAGCTGGCCCAGCCCCTGCTTAGCAGAGACCCTCACTTGGCCAGCTCCCTCCCTTCCAAGGCCTCATCAGGAGCCTGGTGTTGGAGTCCACTGGTGGGGAGGAGAACTTGGACTCTGAAGGGCAGGTGGTGTCTGTGATGTCCCTGTCCCCCACAGTGAAAGTGAAGAGGACATCCTGAGTGTCCTCTAACACCGCGCCTCTCCCCCAGCTCTGTGGGAAACCTCCCATCCCCTCTGCACACAAATGGAACGGTCTGTATTTTCCTGGCAGGGTCCTGGGGGCATCACTGGGGGAGGCTGGGCATCCCAAGGAGCCTCGTGGCTTGGAGGCCAAGGCTCTCCTGGGCCTGGCTGCCACCACAGTGCTGAGAGGTAAACAAAACGGGCCTCCCGGAGCTGGGGAGGGAGGGATCGAGCGCCACAGGCAGCCACCATGCCAGGAGGCCTGTGTCCCGCCCTCTCCTTCTGTCACCTCATCAGTGAGCTGTGGGAACCACAGGAGCACCGAAAGAGGAGTCTGTGGGGTCTGAGTAGGGGATTATTCTCTAGCTTTTGGTCAGGTTAGTATTAACAGTCCTGGTCACAACAGGAAGGGTCTCCCCCACCACCCCATCTTGTCCCCATGTGAATCAATTTGCTCCCCCATCTTACCACCCCCATGTACTGAGCTGGGTCTTGCTGGGCACACAGGCCACCCAACTTCTGCTTGGGAAAATTTTCAAAAATTCCCAAGCCTTGGGCCTAACTTGCATGCATACTCATTAGCGTAAGCCAGGCCTGTGTCCATCCCATCTTCCCGTCACGCTCTGCTTCCAAATAAAGACACATTGGCCTCTCTGGAAAGAGCTCTGGTGGCAAAATGGTTAAGCACTTGGCTGCTAACGGAAAGGTCAGTGGTTACACCCCACCAGAACCGACCAGCTGCTCTGTGGGAGAAAGATGTAGCAGCCTGCTTCCATAAAGACTACAGCCTTGGAAACCCTATGGGCAGTCTACTCTGTCCTATAGGGTCGCCATGAGTAGAATCAACTCCATGGCAATGGGTTTGGTTTTTGACTGTTGCCTCTCTGGGGTTAAACCCCCTGCTATCCACACCCCTTTGTGAGCTGGGGACAGGCCCTGGACCAGGAGTCAAAAGCAGCAGGCCCCGCCCCCTCCTCTGAACCGTAGGTTCTGCACCTGTAAAGTGGAGGGACCTAATAATTGGCATTTAATAGATTGTGGAGTAAATGTGATCATTTATGAAAAATGCTTCGTAAACTGCAGAGGGCTCCAAGGCCACCCAAAGGTTAGCGAGTGTCATTGCTAAGAATGCTCACCCCTAGGGATGATGGGGGGGTTAGTGAGCGAGGCTGCAATGCCTGAGGGTCCACCGCTAGCTCCTGTGGTGGGGTGGGCTGGGAGCCCAGGCCAGGTTCTCGGGGCTGGTCCCTGATCAGAGCCTGGGAATTATCTTGGGGAAAGCAAACGCGTCAGAGGTACCCCTGCGGGTGGGGAGCGTCAGGCCGGCCGGGCCGGGTACCTGGGACAGCCCGGGCTGGGGGCGAGCCTTGGGCGCGCTGCGGGGGCCCGGGAGGCGGGCTGGAGGGTGGAGGGGCGTGTCCCGCTTGGCCCGGCCCCCTCCCCGGGG